CTACTCAAAATTTTGGCATTTAGTTTGTTCAAGATACACTGAACATCTTACACAAATTCTACATACTTTGCATGTCATCATGTATGTATATTTCTAGGTATCCAGCGCCTGTCCAAAGCCTTTCCCTGTATTTTTGTCTTGGCGATCAGCAGTGACAGCGCTGGTTTATGGCTGTCAGAAACCTTGGCTGTTGCCATGGCAATGCCACACTGCAATACTGTGTGCAGGCAGACTGCGCTTGCTGCAGCATCGACACAAGAACAGGACGGAGAACGGTGAGCGTTGCAGGAGAAACCTGCTGAATGCTAATCAGCCCCTCCACAGTTTGTCCTTTATCAGACAAGAGAAACATTGAGGATCTACATTAAACTTGTGCTCGCAATCTATGTCTGTTCTAGAACACATATCAATATCCACAAGGATAAACATTTTGTTAGGCAAGCTACCAGTATTTATGCTCTTAAAATCTAATTTTCTCTGATCCTTCTGTTTGTGGGTAGTTGACAAACAACATGTCAATTAACTTTTTTCTTTCTTTTTTACATCAAAATTTTAGGATCAGTTCTACAGATATTTAGTTGTTTCATAAAGCTATAGATTTATGTGATTTGTTAATGTTGAAAGAAGTGTATTTTGCTCACTAAGGCTGCATTTATTTGATCATAAACATAGTAAACATTTGTAAAATATTAGTACTATTGAAAACAACTGTTTTGTATTTTAATATATTTTAAAATGTAATTTATTCCTGCGATGGTAAAGCTGAATTTTCAGCATCATTATCAGTAATACAGTCTTTAGTGTCACATGATCCTTCAGAAATCATTCTAAAATGCTGATTTGCTGCTCAAGAAACATTCATTATTATCAATGATGATAATGAAACAGCTGTGCTGCTTATTTTTTTCAAGATTCTTTGATGAATAGAAAGTTCAAAAGAAGAGCATCTATTTGAAATAGAAATACATATATTTACTGTCACTTTTGATTTAATTAATTTTTAAGGTACTTGGCTGTTCATATAAATCGCTTTAAGAAATATGGTGTGAGAAATTCTATTTTAAAGTTCAAATATTACATGCAGTCTTTAAATTAATATGAGGTCCTAGAAACTACTATAAAATTATACATGAATTAGAAAAAGGTTGTTTAAAATAGTTCTGGAAGAAATAAACCATGTCACACTGCAGGGCACTGCTATACATGTCAACCACCCTCATACACTTTAATAAAGAACAGGTATAAAACTTAAAAAGTCCTCTGCTTGTTCTTCTTTTTTTATTACGCCAGTGCTCTATGCAGGGCTTTTTTTTTTTACTTTCTACAAATGTCTGCAAAGTTTGAGTTCTTAATCTGGATCAGAGGAAGCTGAAATGGAGCCTGTTTCAGCAGAGCAGTTTGTGAATCTCTAAACACAGAAGTTTGCCTCACATCAATGCTGTCCGCTGCGCTCAGGTCTGTTTACGTTCGTCTGTTTCAAGTTCCTGACAGACTGTCCACTGAAATTGTCTCCAGCCTCCCACACATTACTTAATTTTATATAAACACATACTCGGTGTACACAGCAGTGAACAATGGTTTATTCCAAATTGCCAACATTTATACAGCGATTCTCCAAAATCACATTAGCTTTAAAGATGCATTGGCACTGACCAGGGACGCCAGAAGTAGGGATGCTGAGGGGGCTGCAGCACCCCCTGTTTTCACATGGTTGCAAATGCAACGCCAAGTTTGTTCATTTAAATTTATTCAGTTTTAGCATTTAATAATTTATTTGTAATGATCTCTGAAATGTAAATGTAAGTGGGCTATAATAAACCCATGTTTATCTTTATAAACATGATTAATTTTACTTGTGATGTTTTCTATATGGGATGATTAGCCTAATCCTCATGAACACGTGATGCTGGTGCGTGGTATCAGACATGAACTATACAGAATGCGAACAAGATTAACTTTAATACAAGGAGATAATGTAGCAAAAGCGAATTTCAGATTTTTTTAAATGCCCATCCCAGCAAAAACTTTCCAAAATCGGCATCCAACACCAGCCCCAGCACGAGCACCGACGTAAGTGAACCAGACACAGCACGAGCACGGAAACAAGTAAGCCTAGCGGACCCAGCCAAACCCCCCAGATTGATCAGCTACTATCGATAATTTCAAAAATGTGATATGCAGTCAAATTTCCCAGTGTGTATGCCACTTAAACAAGTGTTCATATCGACGCACTTGTAGTGCTTTGTGGAGACTTGGAGTTGTCAAATGAGGTGACCCCCCGCCCCCCTCCCCTTTCACCCAACACGGACACACACAGCACCCCCAAAAGAAAACATCTTCCCGTGCCCCTGGCACTGACAGAGATTCAACTGTTAACGGGTTGCCAAATTGCTACACTGCTGGTTACTAATAGTTGTGCCTACTGAACTCAACAATATCAGGCCACAAATCATTTGAGATTCACTGTCCCCAACAGTCACTGCTAAATATTGGCATCAGACAGCTAACTTTCATTGAAAATTAATGACTTTTAAACTCTTCATTGCTAAAAATTGCTATCCCTGTGAATGCCACTTAAATGGCTTGCTTTAAGCCCAAATACATGGTAAAATACAACCATTTTCAACCATTTGACTTCTGAGAAATGCTTATGGGCTGAAATAAACTACATATACAGTAGATGACAGGGAAGAGGAGGAAGGAGAAGCTAGTCTAAACACCCTAGAGTGATAGGAAAGTTAATGGGCCCTTTCCTAGCACCAATCAATCTGTGCTAATCTCTCTGCCGAGGGTTCTCCAGAGAGACAGCGGCCATGATTCCATCGATGTGACGGCAAAGTCCACTCAGCCACATCTCCTGTTAGTCGCCAGACACTTTACTCTCTAACACACCAAGTACAGGGATCATACACCTCAAGAAGAGACAGACAGATTAAATGGAAAGTTGGATGTAATTGAAAACATGCCTTTAACACTAGAAACGCCAGGGGGTAAATTTTACCCACGCACATGACAGCTGTTTCTGAATGGCTAAAGAACATATTATTTCACTGTATTATGCTACTGTCTTTTAAATGCCCATCCCAGCAAAAACTTTCCAAAATCGGCATCCAACACCAGCCCCAGCACGAGCACCGACGTAAGTGAACCAGACACAGCACGAGCACGGAAACAAGTAAGCCTAGCGGACCCAGCCACTTTTCATAACGGTAAATATTAAGCTAAACAAGCCTGCACTGACAACGAGAATTAGAAGGAAGTAAATACATATTTATGTGGTGTAACAGGCTATTATACAATGTCATTAATCAATATATTAAGATAACCTATGTTATTTTAATTACTAAAATAGTCTATAGACAATAATGAGCAATATTAATTCACCACATTGCATAGGATGATGCTATGACAAATTCAAGAACACAGCTTCACCTAATTAATTATGAATTTGTTTAGTTATATCATTTATATTTTGAATTATAAAAGAGGAACACCAATAAACTTCGAGTAATTAAAAAAAAAAGGTTTTATTCATTAGCCTACATCAGATCGGATTTTTTTTCTTCAGGAAACAGGCAGACCAGAACAAATAGCAACACAGAAGCGAACAATAAATGATAGAAATGGCAAAACAAAAATTAAATAATTAATCCAAATTTTGAACAATTATGAGAAACATTCATAAATTGCCTTCTTTTACTAATTTTGTCTTTATTTATGAAACTGATAACCACTAATTCAGTGAGTGAAAGGTGTTGCCTAGCAATGTACTGTTAAAACATAAGCAGCACGAAAATGACAGCCCGAACATACAGGCATTATATAGCGGGTAAATTTGACCCGCACTGGCACTTATAGGTATAAATGCCCCGTTTTTTGATCTGGTTTTATCTAAACAGTTTTTAACAACAGGGGATTGTAAATCACACAATTTTAGTAAAAGTCAGTGACTGGGAGACTTGAATGTATTATTAAAAATATTTTATGTACGTTTTAAAAACAGCCACGGGTAAAATTTACTATTGTTAAAGGGATAGTTCACCAAAAAATGAAATTTCTGTCCTTGCTTTGAAAGGACCAGGTAACCAAAATGAAATCCATATGAGTCAAGTAGCCTAATCCAAATTCTGTGAGATTTCATTTTGGTTATTTTTTTAATTATAAACTCACATGCATAAAGCACATCAAATATGGTTAACATGGAAGTTTAAAATGAACACTTAAAATGCTCTTTCATATAAATTAATTTTACAATACATTTTGTAAAACATTGCATTGCACACATAACATTGCAAACATTACACATTGTCTCTTCAAAGTTCTGGTTACCTGGACTTTAAATTGAGGGACAGACAGCTTTCAGGTTTCATAAAAATACCTTAATTTGATATTCAAACATTAACCAAAATCACATGGGTTTGGATCAACATGAAGGTGAGGAAATGATGACAGAATTCTCATTTTTGGGTGAACTATTGCTTTAAGTAAAAAACACTATAGTGCACAACTATGTACTAGACAATCAGGTCTGACATTGTCCATTTTACCTTTGCTTCCAGCACAACACATCCAATCATTTGCGACAGCGTCTGACTAAATTGCATGAACACACATGACTAAATGCACATGACTAAAGTAAGCAGACATTCCAAATGCCCAGCCTATTTTGAAGCCCTGCTCAATCACACACTTCCCTCTCTGTGTGTCAGCACGGGACAGGCTCGTCCAAGTGTCTTTTTTCCAAGCAATTGTGCCAATGTCCCACATTCCAGCTGGCCTGCGTCCCCAACCGCCATAGATGTGGGGGCGGTGCAGGACGTCTCACTTCCTGAACTAAAAATAATGCAGATGGTAATAAAACCTTGGCCTGCTACATACTCCCCAATGATCCCAGCTCCCTGTGACTATGATTTAGTTGGGATTGATTAACCATTATGACCCAGTCAAGGGATTCTGCTGAATCATTACATACAACATTAATAATAAGCAATCAGACTCGCCTCCAAGCTGTACTCTTCCACAGTTCTCTTCAGTGGATCCACGATCTGCCAGCATATGAGGATGCACAAATCAATCAGCAACATCCCACCCACGATGATAAAGAGCTTCTGGTCCTTGATAATCTGGAAGAGAAAAAAAGCAAAAGCAATGGATGAGGTGATTAAGGGATGAGAAAGAGGCCGAGATGGGCAGGAACCATCAATGGACTGTTCATTCAATTCAAACGCATGATCTTCTCTCGCATTCTGAACCTTTGTGGATGAAAGCCCTGCTCCTGTCTGATCTTTTTCTCTTTTCTTCTATTTAACCGTAGTTGACCTGAACAGAACCCAAATCAAAGGAAAGGTCACCACGAGGAGGCCTGCGTGTATTCTAGAGGAATCAGACGGCGGGAATGGACAAATTCTTTAGTGATTCAGAATAGAAACGCTAACTCGTTTTGATCTGATGTCTTTTGATGGCTTACCAATGGCCAAAACCTTGCGTCGTGGGAAACAAAGAGGTGGTGAGTTACTCTGTGACCATTGAGCACCATGCTGAATTCTATCAGAACAGATGCTCTTTATCTTCAATAAAACAGAGGTTGATGGTTTCATTAAATGGCAAGACATTTGAAATAACACAGGATCATGATACTTCAGAACACATCAGCACAATCACTGATAGGAATTCTGTATGACCACTGAACTTTATTGCACAAAATCTCCTTTCATCTCGGCAAATGGAAGGTGATGATGGATCAAAAAAAGCGAATAGCAGTCCTAAAATCCCCCTCCACACTTTATGGCTACAAATATCCCCTGAACTTAAGGCAGAGGTTATTTGCACTAAGTGCAAATAACGATAGAAGCTATTTACAGTAAGTAAAAATAGCAACATTTTCTTTGCACAAAAGCTATTTATACTTGGTGTAAATAGTGTCAGATACTCTTTGCACCTCAGCATATTGGGACCCTATCGAATGTGGGTTGTTCATGTCAAAAGGTAAATGAAATGTCCTGACTCTTCATACCACTCTACCGGAGTGGTTTCTTTTGTCAGCCTGTCTGGCCCAACAAGGCAATTGTGGGTGGAGTTAGTGTAAATAGCCTCTGCAACAATATGGACTATTTGTACTTACAATTTGCACAAAAATAATTTGAAACAACTCAAGTGTCTAGTCAGAGGTGCAAAAATTGCAAAAATAATAGTAATGGTTTCCCAAAAACTAATTTTCACCCCTGTTTGCCATTGGTAATACCACACCAAACACAAGCCATTGGCAGAGCTATTAGTTGACATGACAGACCAATTAAAGGGACAGTTCACCCAAAAATGTAAATTCAGTCATCATTTTCTCATCCTCCTCATGTTGTTCCAAACTGCTCAAAACTGTCTCAGTGTTTTTTCAATGAAACTCAATGGGGTCCAATGTTGTTTTAAACCACACTGACTTTCATTATATGAAGAAAAAAAAAGTTTTGTTTCTTATAATTTCCTTTTTGTGTTTTGCAGAATAAAGTCATACAGGTTCTGAACGACATGAGGTTGAGTAAGTAATGACAGAATTTAAATTTTTGGTTGAGCTATTCCTTTAAACAAACACTAACACAAATAACTTAATTATAGTCATCTATGTACATTAAACTGGGAAGTGGTGCTTTAGCAACGAAAGAATGACACACTTCACCTTTAATGTTGCTAATTATGAGCTTGTAAACCAATAACATTTAGTTTGAAGACCCAATAGCTCTGCTTAAGCTTTTGTATTCACGATTCAAATTGCTCACCATTTGTACAAGATTATTGCTGCAGGTCTACAAGAGTATGTGGTGCATTAGTGTCAGATTGTGTTTGTGCTCAGTCTAAGTTATGCAGGCCATCATGTGCTTGTGTCTGATTGAATTTACAGATGCACACATCTCTGATGCCATCTATTTATGACACTGTGTGTTCCATAATGCAGTCCGAGTCTCTGAATGATGCATGATGCATGATGCAGTATGCGAGTGCGCATGCAGGTTTTTGCTACACAATAATGAATATAACTGTGTATATATGCTGTAAAAAGAAGAAATCAGACTGATAGACCAAAGAAATTCAAGGCTTAAATGGATAGTTCACTCAAAAATGTGTGTGAACTCACCATCAAGTCTTTCAAGCTTCAAAAGGAATTTGTAAAAGCACCATAATTTTTTTCCAGAAAACACTCCATTTGACCTATGTGCTATATACTAACATATACAGTTATTTACTAAACATCTAGACATCTATTGAGAGAAGTAACATTGTCTGATTCATGAAAGAACCATTCTTTAGAACCAAATCTTTTTAATGAATGAACTGACCTGGTTCATGATTCGTTGATTCGTTCTCAAGTCAGTTCACTGACTCAATAACAGCTCTCTGGAGAGGAAGATTAATAATGGCCTAAATTTGTCTTTGTTTTTCACACAAAGCTATCACATGAGTTCAGAAGACTTGCACACAAGTCATACAGACTGCTTTTAAAGCATTTCATATACAGTATGTTTTGCCTTTTTCAGTTCCAATGTAATGTAATTGCAAGGAAAGGAGCACCCAGGAAGGTTTTCAGATTTCATACACTTTGAAGAAAATTTGAACTGTTTTTGTCCATGTGATGAAAGTCAATGGGTCCAAAATGACACTGGACAACATTGGTTTTGAGGGTGAGAAAATGATGACAGAATTATAGTTTTCGGGCTGAACTATCCCTTTAAGACTAATAATCTGTGGTCCAACTCATTTTACAGAAGATAAATACATCTTCATTCAACTAAAATCTGTACAAGAGAAACAACTAAACAAGAAACAAGCATGACTGTGTGCCGTATAGTTTTGCATGCGTGTTTGAGTGTGTATCTGCTCCATCTCCCTTTGTTCCTATCTCAGATTTAAATCTAGCAGAGGCAGATGTACGACCCATCGCGGTGACTGACATAGCCCTCGCTGAGCCCCGAGGCAGGGAGAGACTGTTACAGACCCCTCGGACTGCCGGACCTGCATTGAACGGCGGCTGATTTGCGACGGGCTGTCTGCGGAGTCACATACTGTGAGACTGCTTCTCAGCTTGATAAAGAGATGGCACACCCACATGCAGACTCACAAAACACAGTCCTGACAGCAGCCATCGCTTTAGAGTGCCAAAGCCCAACAGTCCATCACTGCATGGAGCGGGAGTCAGCTCATTGCCAGCTTCTTGCACACTGAAGTGCCAGAGGGAATTAAAGCCCTGAGCCTAGGCATTACCTGTCTCTGAATTTATTTATATGTAGCGGGTCCAGTTAAGAACTGCTAATTGAGTAGACACCGGGGGCAGGGACTTACATGAAATGTATCAAGCTGGAATTACATCACATACTCCTAAACCTTTGTTCTGAACTCCATTATCAGGGAAAACTGGATTTTTGTTGCTCCTTAATTCTAAAATAAATAGAAATAAAAGATTTTGACATACTGTGTATACAATGTAATGCACCCCACTTGACTGCACATTTCCAGAGTAATACTGAACAAGATTTTTAACTTATCTTTCTTTACTAATCATTTGATCAGAGTGGCAAATGTTAACACATTTGCACAAAACTGATTCAAAGATGCAAAATATCAAACTTGATCCAAAGTTTAGTTTCAAAAAGAAGGGTAAAAACTGCACTACAATAATTAACTAAATTAAAAATTACATTTTGATGAAACATTATCAGTGGACTTCCAGGAAAAAAGAAAATGCTGAAAGTGTAGAATATGGCCAATTAAAAATAATCTTCTGGGTTCAGTGAAGCTCTATTGATATCGTCTGGGAAATAAAATAGGCTAACATAAAAAGTTTCAATATGCCTCTTACAATGGAAGCACAATAAACATTAAAATATACTTTCCACAGTTTTAAAAGTAAAGCCTTAAGACTTAAACGTGTGATAGAATTGCTTAATAATCACTTGGAATGTTTAGTTACCTCAAAACTTTTATACTTAATAAACAAGCTCTAACAAAAATATAAGTTTTGCATTTCAGCATTTAAAAACATATTGCCTGGTTTAATTATGTTGTAAATATGTCTTAAAAAGCTGGGAAAAAAGCTAAAACCGATGGTAATTAGCATGCCACAAATGCTGTCAATATTGTCAAATATGTATTGAAGCAGTGCTGTAATTGTTATCTAAAACTAAAACTATTACTATTATTTGTTGATTGAAATAAATCAGATATAAAATAAAATATAACTATTAGAGGAAAAACTTGCCTTAGTGAATAAATGAAATAAAATAGGTTTAAGTTTACGTAAAAAAACTAAATAAAAAATAGATTAATTAATTAATTAATTAAAACTACTGTACATAGAAATATTACAAGTAAAACCAATAAAAATGAAAATATAATATAAAAGCTAATTCAAAATATTAATAAATACTATAAAAAATCTGGAAGATTACTTTGAAGTTATGGCTAGTTCTCTGCATCAACGTTTATCACCCTCTGTCTTACTTTCTCTTTCTGTGTATGTTTCTCTTGATCTCACCCTACTGATTCTGACTGCAGCAGTGGAAGTAGGCTGCGAACTCTATAAATAAAGATGGCCAGCAGGGCGCTGGAGCTGTGGCTAGCCATCCTTTACAGCACTGTCATACAGTATCAGCTGCTTCACTTGCCACATTCTTACACTGCACTGAAAAACAAGAGCAGCGAGAGAAAGAGCGTATAAAAGGAGGTCAGTGTGCATGCTTGAATCTGTTGTGTTAAAGAGCTGCATGGATGCGCTTGTGCATAGCTTCTGTTCAAAAGAAACCCACTGAACTATTCCCCATAGAAGTGTGATGCTTTTTCTTGTGGAGGAAATTCACACACAGACTTGTGAAGACTGTTTCTAGCAGAGCAGGAAGACTCTGTTCTTTAGAAGAGATCAGAGATTCATTGGTTAGCACTGGCAGTGCTGGCTGATTCTGGATATGTCAGGAAACTGAGCATGGAGACAGCAAACTGACCTTAAGTGAAGACAGCATTTCTATATTTTAGCTTTTTGGCAGTCGAAAAATGAGACAGCTGACAGCCCAGTGGCAACGCTGCTTTCCCATGATGTTTTAAGCATGGAACTTGTATCTCCTTTTTTAATTATCTCTCTCTT